TCATTTCTGGATATACGCCCAGGAGCGGGATTGCTGGATCATGCGGTAACTCTATTTTTAGTTTTTGAGGAACCTCCATACTGTTCACCATAGTGGCTGCACCAATTTACATTCCCACCAACAGTGCAAGAGGGTTCCCTTTTCTCTACACCCTCTCCAGCATTTATTGTTTATAGACTTTTTAATGATGGCCATTCTGATTGGTGTGAGGTGATGCCTCATTGTAGTTTTGATTTGCATTCCTCTAATGATTAGTGACACTGAGCATCTTTTTTTATTATTATTATTTTTATATTGAGCATCTTTTCATGCTCCTGTTGGCCATGTGTATGTCCTCTTTGGAGAAATATCTAGTTAAGTCTTCTGCCCATTTTTTGATTGAGTTGTTTCGGTTTTTTGATATTGAATTGATGAGCTGTTTGTATATTTTTTTTAATTAATTAATTAATTATTATTTTTTGACTGTGTTGGGTCTTCGTTGCTGCACGTGGGCTTTCTCTAGTTGCGGCGAGCGGGGGCTACTCTTTGTTGCGGTGCACAGGCTTCTCATTGCAGTGGCTTCTCTTGTTGCGGAGCATGGGCTCTAGGTGCCTGGGCTTCAGTAGTTGTGGCACACGGGCTCAGTAGTTGTGGCTCGCGGGCTCTAGAGCACAGGCTTGGTAGTTGTGGCACGTGGGATTAGTTGCTGTGGCATGTGGCATCTTCCCAGACCAGGGCTCAAACCCATGTCCCCTGCATTAGCAGGTGATTTCTTAACCACTGTGTCACCAAGGAATTCCCTATATTTTTGAAATTAAGCCTTTGTCAGTCGCATGATTTGCAAATATTTTCTCCCAGTTCATAGGCTGTCTTTTCATGTTGTTTATGGCTTCCTTTGCTGTGCAAAAGCTTATAAGTTTGATGAGGTCTCACTTGTTTATTTTTGCTTTCATTTCTTTTGCCTTGGGAGACTGACCTTAGAAAGTATTGCTATGATTTATGTCAGAGAGTTTTTTGCCTATGTTCTCTTCTAGGAGTTTTATGGTGTCACGTCCTATATTTAAGTCTTTAAGCCTTTTTGAGTTTATTTTTGTGTAGGGTGTGAGGGTGTGTTCTAACTTCATTGATTTACATGCGCCGTACAGCTTTCCCAGCACCGCTTGCCAAAGACACTGTCTTTTCCCCATTATATAGTCTTGCCTCCTTTATAGAAGACTGACTGACCTAGGTATGTGGGTTTATCTCTGGGCTCTCTATTAACAACACTTTTCTTCTGTCCCACACTTTCAGAGCTATTCCCTCCTCAGTTCATTCCCCTCTGACGGCACTTTTCACCCTGATGACTTGCTTAAGTATCTGTCTGCCCAATTATACTGTGACCCTCTTTGGACATTCATTCATCTTTCTATTTGCAGTATTTAGGTCTGATACATTGCAGGACCACAATTAAAGTTTGTTAAGTCAAGATGTTTTGTTTCAATGGATCAAAATTTCTGTTCATGTCACCGAGGCTTACCACATAGGTGTATTTCTACTTTTAAAATACAATCTCATACCTTTCCCCATAATTCCTAATGTCCACAATAAAATGTCAGCAATATTATAAAGGCCCAACATCAGTTTAATCAATATCAAGACTGAAAAAGTCATTCAGCAAAGAACTCCCCACAAGGATTCAGGCAGTTGGAGTGAGTGGAAACTAAATGTAAAATCAACTCAGCAAAGATTAAAATTTACCCCCATTGAGGTTGATAGCCATAATCTGAAATATTTTATTAAACCAATCTTCTAGACATTTTAAATTGTAACACTGGAATTTTTAATGCAGGGGAGCTCTTCTTATGACACTATAATGGTAGATATGTATCATTATACATCTGTCAAAACCCAAAGAATGTACAACACCAAAAGTGAACTTCAATGTACACGAAGTACTCTGGGTAATAATGACATGTCAATGTAGGTCCATCATTGATTGTGTAACAAATATACCACACTGATGCAAGATGTTGATGGTAGGGAAGGCTGTGGAGGTGGAGGGAGTATGTGGGAACTCTGCACTTTCAGCTCCATTTTGCTGTAGAGCTCTAAAAACAAAGTACTAATTTTTTAAAAAAGAACATGAAGACCATATGAAGTATTCCTTTCCTTAGCACTGCAATCTGGTTACTTAAACACAGTTTCACAGGGCTTCCCTGGTGGCGCAGTGGTTAAGAATCCACCTGCCAATGCAGGGGACACGGGTTCGAGCCCTGGTCCGGGAAGATCCCACATGCCGTGGAGCAACTAAGCCCTGTGCACCACAACTACTGAGACTGCGCTCTAGAGCCCGTGAGCCACGTCTACTGAGCCCACGTGCCACAACTACTGAAGCCCACTCACCCAGAGCCCCTGCTCCTCAACAAGAGAAGCCACCGCAATGAGAAGCACACGCACCACAACGGAGAGTAGCCCCCACTCACCACAACTAGAATAAGACCGCACACAGCAATGAAGACCCAATGCAGCCAAAAATAAATAAAAATAAAATAAATTTATTTTAAAAAACCACACAATTTCACAGAAGAAATGTACAAACAAGATTATGTTTGTAAGAGCCACGATTTATTCTATTGGCTTTTGTCAAGTCCTCTACAATTTCAACCAAAGCCACTGCTTCAGTAAAGATACTATTTGATCACTTGCCTTTTCTTAATGATTTTCACAAAAAGGAACCAGACAGTGACACTCCGTGTGATTGACAGGAAACTTCAGTGCCCTGCCATGGACTCATCAGCCTTACTGCTACAGCTCCTCCAGATTTGCCCAGCTCTGGTACATACAGGCTTTGCAGGTGCTTCCAAGCAGCCTTTGAAACAGCAGCTACATTATTGTGCCACTGTGAATTTCAGATGGACCCCCTCTACCAGGAGCTTAATTCTCCATTTGGGCTTTGAAGCACACAATCGTAATTGCTTGCAAATGCTTGAGCTTGAAAGTCTATATTGAGGTAGCAAAAGGTTGGAGGTTTAAGGAATTATTAATATGTAAGAGGCAAATATTTATTTCATTGTCAGACCACAGCTTCCTAACGTGGTGTCAGGAGAACATTATTTCTGCCAACTATTTTCCCTACTTACTGAGAGCTCAGTTCTCAGAAATGTTAAGACACCGCTGCACATTCCACCCTCCTTTTAGAGACTGACAAACATGCACTAATATATTCAAGGTTCTCAGAAGATCAGCACTGATCAATTATTCAACTTTAACCCAACATTTCCCAAACTTATGTGGCCCCAGAACCTTTGCTGCTGCTGGTGTCACAGTCCTTATCATACTTATTAACATCCAAAGGAACTACTGTCGCTGAAACATGCTTTGGAAATTATCAGTATATCTGGATAGTAATAATAGTGGCCTTTACAAATAAACTTTAAATCATTTTTCCCTAACATAACTTACCCACAATTATCCAGAGGAATGAGAGGTTACTAAATAAACAAACATGAGCAATGCTGAAGATTTTAACTGAAAAGTAAGTATGGACTGAACCACAAGAAACACACAAACAAATGCCTTTATTCATCCGTCCCTGAACCCCATCATTTTTGTCTGGGTAACTTCCAAAGTGGCCAACTTATCTCACTAGTTCTCTTCCTAAATGTATCACATTATCTTTCGAACATCAACTGATGCTTACTACATACAGCATAATATTTGTGCATGCCTGTGTAGTAAGTACATTTTTAAATATAAATGTGATTCCTTCAAATATTTTTTATCCTGAAGATAGAACTAAGACAGGAAAATTCCCTTTTGTTAGGTTTACCTAATACCTTCAGAAGCTTCTCTGAGTAAAATTTGTTTTGTCTTTTCAGGGGTAAAAACCAACGGAGGTTTATATTAAACTGGACACTATAAATAAACCACATTCTATATACAAACTCTGTACGAGCTTATATTGCACTAGCCCCTCTACCCTGACCAGTGATTAGTCATCTATTTCCTTGGGTTTTTATTTTAATTCTTAATTTTAATTAAAGCTAGACTATATCTCTCCAGAGATACTATCGAAATTTGGAAGATCATCACCTAAGAAGTACACTATTGGCCTGGCCAAATATACTCTTATTTTTACCATGAGTAGTTTTTCTCCTGATACCGTGTAATTCTTTTGCATCAGTGTATTTACACATTATGTCATATTTTTGTGTTAACTATACTTTTCTGTGTTTATAGCTTTGTTTTTAATTTTACTTTATTCCTTTCCTAAGCAGTAATATACAAAAAAACCCAGTTTGATACATTAGTTATATTTCTAATAAATATTAAAATTCATGCATCCCTTAAAATCATCTTGTCTATCACCAGTAGAGTGTTTAGCACACACCCTGGAAAACAGTAACATGAAAATTTCTTTCCATGGAAATAAGGGATGAGGTTTGGAGTAGGGAAAAGTTAAGATAACTTCTCATGACTCTCCTTCCTACCAGATGTGTGCACTGCACAAATAATAATAATAAAAAAAAAAGTATTTGTTTACTTTACATTGCTTTCTGAAAGAAAAATAAAACCCTTTTTAAAATACTGTAATCAAATGAGTTTTATAGTCAAGGACTATGCAAAGTCCTGCGGGGACCCATCTCTAGTCTGTGTGATACAATACACCCACCAAATGAAACATTTCATTGAAATATGCAGTTTTTATGAAGAAACAAGCACCCCCTAGAACCAAAGACTGATCCTGCTGAGGCTTTAGACATGTGGTATATGTGTGTGAACCTCTGTAGGTCTAATTTTCTTTCTTTCTGTATAATCAAGTGACCTAGTCTCATTGGGTAAAGTTTCAGCCACAAAACATCACTGTGTGCTTTTTGTTTTTTTCAAGATACACGTCACAACACACCAAGAAATGGGGAACTTCCAGTGTCTGTGGTAACATCACTTGATAAACAGACTCGTTCGAACGGCAAGGGCCTGTTAGCTGTCACTATATAAAGCAGCAGAGGCGTGGATTAGCAGGTACTTGCCTGCTGAGGACCATGTGAGCAGCGGCCATCTCCACGCCAAGTCCAGAAAAAATGCCAGGCGTGTTCCTCTCTGCTAATCCAAAGGGACTGAAAGGAACTGATCATTCGCTTCTAGACAACAAGACGCAAAAAAGGAGGCCAAAGACTTTGTAAGTTCATTAACTGTGCAAATTTTGACTTAGATGATCCTTAATGGCAGAACAATTGAAAATGAATGAATGGAAGAAAATGCGAGCCTTTAGTTTACCTAGATCAGGGCAATGACCTGCTGTGAGTTACAAGTATATTCAGTTGTATTTAAAAATGAATCATGACAGGGCATTAAATGAGGTGGGAACTTTTCCAGACTTTGGCTTATAAAAATCGGCTCACTCTTAATATAGCAATATGTTGTATCAGCTATTTTTATTATGGCCTTATTCCTTGGAGAAGTTTGCTTCATGCTCTTTTCTTTTTACAAATAAAGTATTCTTCTGAAGAAATATGAATATTTACTTTTGTGTCTTTTGTAGTGGAATGGATGTGAAAGCATACCTGAGATCTATGATCCCACATCTGGAATCTGGAATGAAACCTTCCAAGTCCAAGGACCTGTATGTACACTAATACACGGAACTATCACTATATAAGCGGCCTGTGCATTAGCTCTGTATTCTAGCAAGGCGGTAATACTACACATAATGGACTTCATTTCTTTTAAGTAACAAGCCTAATAAGATTAAGCTGCATTAGTACCAATGTAATTTAAATACAAATGTGCATGCATATATTTGCTACTTATTATACTGTTGGAGTACATTTGGATTTTTTCACATTGTATTGGCAGATATTTTCATAACGATAGTAATTCTAAGCAAATTTTTGTTTTCTTATAGATAAATTTTAATAAAATGTATTAGAAGTAGAGTCTTAGTTTGTGAAGTTATCAAAATGCAGCAGCCATTCTGATTTCATTTGCGCTCACACACACAAAAATACTAATTTATGTAAATGTCGTCCCCTGTAGACTCTCTGCTGATGAAGTGAAGCAGTGGTCTGAATCTCTGGAAAAACTTCTTGCTAACCAGAGTAAGTATAGATTAACTACTGCATGTTTCTGGGTTTATCTCAGTACGCTAACAGATTGAATGGCTTCATTAAAATATAGTATTCTGGATGGGAGGGTGTGTGAAACGTTGTACTCTAGCTGTTCTGTAGCACTGATAGCTTCAGCATATTATGCCTCATCGTGGCATAATGTTGACTCGGCACTCAGTTCTGCTACTGTCCTTTAGAAAAATTTGCCAAGGCAACTAGCTGTTTCCATGGATCATTATAGGAGCAAAATTTTAAATTATGCTGGGGTTCTGAAGTTTAAAGTTTTAAAAAGTAAACCAAACATCTCAACATGTGAACTGCTACTCTGAAAGCTACCTAAAGGATGTATTTTTGTACCATTGGATGTAAGGGGTAGGATTCACTCAGCCAATTAATAACTTTTTCCATTCATACATGCGTTGTCACTCATTCAGCCCAGGCATTTATGTGCAGGCATTTTAGAAGCACCAAGGACTCAAGAGTAAAGACACAGTGCCTTGCTGCCTTGAAGGCAGTTGAGACACACAGCATAAAACTGCATTATATATAACATGACACATTATAACACAGATATGATAAAAAGACTTTTTAAACACAGAGTCTCACGGGGAGTTTCTGATGAGAGAAGGGAAATGAGATCAGCTTGTCTTAGCCCTCATCATGGGCATTGGGATCCTGTTGGGATTAGGACCTCGCTCAGGGGCATAGATGGGCAGCTTGTCCCTATCCGGGGTGAGCCGATCCCCTTCTCCCCCCAACACCCTACAGAGCCTCACGTGGGGATCAAGTAGTTCAACCTGGTTCATCTGCTTGTTATCTGACTTAGGTTATGATTCAGCCAAACAATGCTATAGAAATGGCCTACTGAAGAGCCTCAGTAACACTAGTAAATCCAAGCAGTATAGCGCACATAGGTAATATACAGGCCTCACATCTTTTGACTTATATGAGTTGGACAGAGAAATTATATTTGTTAATGATTAACATGATGTTCATGCCTCCTGTCAATATTTGACTCCCTAAAATACTCTGCACTCTGGCTGAGCTGGCAGTGTAAGAGAAGAGATTGTTCTGTAACCTGCAGAGCAGAACTGTAATGTAACAGCAGATGGAAGTGAAGCAGTCTCTCAGCCACCACTAAGCAGCTGTGTACCTGTGACAAGCGTGTCTGGCCCCAGACAGACTATAAACGAAGGGGTCCCTAAGGCCTTCCCACCTCTACAAACGGTGACACAGCCATTTCAGCAGCATCCACCTCTTCCCTTTGTACACAGAGAATATGCCACAGTACTCTTCTTGTAAATTTCTTCCAGTTATTCATTTATTGGCTCAATTAATTTATCTCACCCCTCACCCTTTCTTTTTAGCTGGTCAAGACGTCTTTGGGAATTTCCTCAAGTCTGAGTTCAGTGAGGAGAATATTGAATTCTGGCTGGCTTGTGAAGACTATAAAAAAACAGAGTCTGATCTTTTGCATTGCAAAGCGGAGAAAATCTATAAAGCATTTGTGCAGTCAGATGCTGCCAAACAAGTGAGTATTTAGTTCATTACCATCGGTTTATATGTAAAGAAACTTAGATACAGAATAAGATTCAACATACTAGCAAGATGAAATCCTTTTTGAGTATTATGATTTTCACTGCTATATATTTAAGTCTATTCATATAGTTCAGTGCAACGATAATCTAATTTTCTACATTTGTGAAAAGGCTGGATGAAAGATTGATTTTGTAAAACAAGCTAATGTGATGGGGTGGGGTTAGGAGTACTGGTGATACGGACCAGAACTGCATGTCAGGGGGTCCTTAATGAGCTAGCTCGTTTTGGATTAGGATAAAGTAGAGATTAGTGCAATACATGGATTGCAGCAGCAGAAATATTTCCAGTTAGTAGTAATGCCCACTTCCAGTTAAATATTCCTGGTTCAAGCAGCAAACACCTGCACAAAGGTCCTCTCCTCCTGTAAGTCTTAAATGTGCACATCACTTTTTTTGATGCACGTATCACCTTATACAGATATTTAAAAAATAATGTCTGCCTCTTGCACCTCCCAAAGATATTATGAGCTAACTGGGAGCAAAGATATTTCTGCTTTTTTGTGCTGCTTCTTTTTAACTCTTCCACACCTAGGAGAAGGTATGCTTAGAATAGGCATTCAAGAGATATCTGAGCTGATTTAAATGAGGTTTTAAAGCCACTGTCTTGAGGTGCTTCAAAAACAACAGTGACATCATAAAATATGCAATAAGTTGGAAGTGCATGTGAACTGATGAGGATTTATTTTTAGATCAATATTGACTTTCACACTCGAGAATCTACAGCCAAGAAGATTAAAGCACCAACACCCACGTGTTTTGATGAAGCCCAAAGGACCATATATACTCTTATGGAAAAGGACTCCTATCCCAGGTTCCTCAAATCAAATATATACTTAAATCTTCTGAATGACCTTCAGGCTAATAGTCTAAAGTGACTAGTGCCGGCTGGAGGGAATTAAAGATGATATCAAGTACAGAAGGAATGTACCAGGATGGCTCCCTGGGGGGACACCTTGGCCTTTTGGGATGACTCACAGATCCAGGGGAGGAACCCATGACTCAGGACAGATTAACATGGAAGTTATCCAGGCTCAGGGCTGATGAAGCGTGAGATGAAAATTCAGCGATGGCAGAAGGAAGGAGATACTGTGGTCCTGTAATAAAATACAGTGGACTTACGTATTAGAACATCCCTCAGAACTGAGAAGGCCGGGTAATGCTTGCTACGCAGAAACTGTGAATAAGGGTTTTGAAACTGGTGAAAACATGCTATAAGCTTCAAGGTCAACTGACATTTATGCTGCATATTGTTATACAGAGATTGTATTGAGCTGCTGAAATCTCTTTTACTTGGATGACTATTTGAGAAGTATGTGTTTCAAAATCACCATTTCTGTTATTGACACAAAGTGTTTCAGTGTTGGTTGGTTTGTTTGAGTGTTTTGGGATTGAAAGAGATGAAGAGGGGAACAATGTATTTAACTTAAGCTATTGCCTTAAAGTTGGGAAGTCAGAATATATTTGTAAATTAAATTATCACAGTGTCAATAATAAATGTGAGTTTTGTCTTAAAAACACAGAAGCAATTTCTGTTTACATTTCCTTGCCATCTTTAAAAACTGGCATTTATTTTTCAGATTTAACAAAAATTTAAGCAAGGGTCTTCGACTTTCTATCACCTCTTCAACATCTAAAACTATCATCCAGTTAATCTTATATTTTGTGTATTACGTGTATGTATTGGACAGAATTCATTAGTTTTCTCTCTGCTATCACAATGTATAAAGATCAAACAAATATAATATGCTCTCACATAGTCAAGCTTCAAACTGAAGAGAAACTGAAGAAGTCTTTTAAAGAGGGATAGAAATTTTATTTCAAGAAGTCATCTAATTAACAACTAATCGTTTATTGTGATTTAAAGTTTACAAAAGCCAGATGTATTTTCTCATTTAATGTTCATCGCAATCCTACGAAAGCTGAGACTAGTAAGATCAAATCACTACTTCCCAAATTTAGCTATCAAAACTACCTAGAATGTTAAAAAACAAAACACCAATTTTGGGGCCCTATCCCAGGTTGACTGAATCAGAATCCCCAAGGGACAGAGTATGAGAATCTATACTTTAAGAGTAAATTCCAGGCGATTCTGAAGATGCCCTGGTTATGCAGGGTTGGGAATCCTGGGGTTAAGAGACAGTCCCACTGCCAGGGATTTACACATAAATTTTCTCACCACACAATTTGTGTTCCCTCTACTGTGCAACACTGCCCCCCAATGACCAGAAGACGTTTCCTAAATCCTCAAGCCTTCAACAGTCTTAGGCGTTACCTAAGCAGGAACATAAGACTGCTCTGGAGGATCATCTACAAAAAGGATAATCAGGACGATGCATATTCCAGCATAGCCTATAGAGCTGTATCTTGCCATGCTCCCGTGTCCCATATGTTATTGAATAATCGGCCATCACAGTGTAATACTCTGGATATTCTCAGTACAGGCTTGCCTATCATCAGGAACACAGCAGTGACATGGGGCAATATGTAGATAGGTTTAAAAAGTACTAGTCTTGAATTTCCATGGGACAAAGTCCAAATTGTCTCTACCATAAGCTTAATTCTATGATTTAGCAGGTCAAAATATTGTAAGAGGCTTAGGAAGGGAATCCAGTTTAATCACCATCATCATTATCATCATTCTCTCCCTTACTCATGCCATCACCAAATTCCCTCAATCCTCCTTCTACAATTAATGTGTGCAGCTGGTACGTCACTTGCCCTTTTTCTGCCCACCCCCCCCCCCCCCGCGACCGCGCTAGCGTAGTCTCTCATTGATTGATCATTCATGCAACTTGTTTTCTTTCTTTCCAGCCTCTTCTCTTCAATCCATCTTCAATCCATCCTCTAAATAGCCGCAAACATCACCTTCTGAGACACAGATTTGGCCCTGCCATTTCCCGTGACATACAACATAAAGTTCAAATTTCCTTTCTGGAATTCAAAACACTCCCAGTGAGACCTTCAGGGTATAATTCGTCTTACTCCCCTCTAGGCAACCTTCCTACCTTGACATCACTCAGGATCAACTGCCTTTTCTTGAAGGAGTCCTGGTCTTCACTACCCTTTGGTTAACCTACTATCTCTCTAAAATGCCTTTTCCTACCTCCTTCCAGTTTTCAAAGTCCAACCAGTTCTTCAAGGCCCAGGTAGAATTACTCTTCTATAAAAGCTTTCCAACACCTTACACCGCTATGTGGTTATTTTCAATAAAAACCGGAGGGGAACCAAGTCCATACAAACACAAGACACTCTGCTCCTATTTCTAGCACCACTGTCACATTAAATAGTCCAGGCCCTTCAAACTCTGAGGCAGTAGAAGTGCAACTGTCCAACACACATACTGGTCATAAAATGAATGCTTCTGGTCTTTGTCTTGATAAGATGCCATGTTAAAAAACCATGCAGGGGCTTCCCTGGTGGCACAGTGATTAAGAACCCACCTGCCGACACAGGGGACACAGGCTCAAGCCCTGATCCGGGAAGATCCCACATGCCGGGGAGCAATTAAGCCCGTGCGCCACAGCTACTGAGCCTGTGCTCTAGAGCCTGTGAGCCACAACTACTGAAGCCCACGTGCCTAGAGCCCGTGCTCCTTAACAAGAGAAGCCCGTGCACCGCAACGAAGAGTGGCCCCCACTCGTCCCAACTAGAGAAAGCCTCCGCGCAGCAACAAAGACCCAACGCAGCCAATAAGTAAATAAATAAATAAAACCTATTAAAAAAAAAAAAAGGTATCCAAGTTTTGGACAGATGGTCAAAACAAACATCTAAGACATTTCTTCATTTTCAAAATGAAAAAAAAAAATTGTCACCATGGCCGCATAGATTCAAGATATGGCAAAAAACTTGAAAAGATAAATTTCTTTTCATTGGCATTGTTTACTATGGTGTGGATGTTTTATTAGATCATTTACAGAAATATGATTAGCTCTACTGTTTAGAGAAATCTGGTCCAACCGCTCCATCTAAGATTCTCAGCTCATATGCTATGTTCTATTGTGATACTAAAGCAGTGGCAATCAACAATATGTATAATTTAAAACTAAGTCATTTAAAAAATAAAAATAAATTTACTTTGCTCAGATGTATTTTATACTATTTCTAATATGATATGTATATTGTAGAAAAGTAGGAATCCGTGAAGGTAGAAATTAGACCCCCTGGTGTCTAATAAAAAGTACGTATTTACACATTTAGCTCATGTGGGATAAACTAAATTTCAAGTTTCTTTCATTCTGTGTGCAAACACAGTCTGTATTATATTAGGAGGAATCTTTGATGATTTATTACTGAGAAAAGAAATTCTGAAATATGTAAAGGGAAAACAGAGTAAATGGTGATTTAAACTGCCATAGATATAAATAATTGCTATTATACACAGAATTGTAGAATTTCCTCAAGACCGCATAAAACCCTATCTATAGAAACAAAAAAATACTCATCAACAGCATAAATACCATCATCTGTTTTGTTGAGACCAGTATCTTAAAAGTGTTACTGAACCAGACTTGGATCCGCACACCCAATGCACAACAAAGCCAATCTAATGACACCAGCTTGTGGTGAAGGAAAGTACAGCGTTTACTGCAAGGCACCCAACATGGGGCCAAACAAGGAGAACAGGAAGCTGAGGCTCAAAAGACCCAAACTGCCCAGTGGCTTTCAGGGAAGGGTTTTTAAAGTCAGTGTTAGGAGTGAGGATTGTAGGGTGTCTGATCCGCTCATGGACGTTCTTCTGATTGGTTGATGGGGAGGTAATTGGGAGTTAACATCATCAACCTTCTGGTTCCAACCAGTCTTGGGTCTACATGCTTGTGCTCAGCAGGCACGTAACTTCTTCTACCTGGTGGGGGTGTCAGTATCTGCAAAACGACTGAAGGATATGGCTCAGGGTATTATCTATAACCCTTGAGGAGGAACTAAAGGTCCTTGACTCTTCAGTTTACAGCTGAACTACTATTATTTTATCTTGCTTGACTGTTTTCCTTTGTTTCTGTATTTTCTCACTTCTCTGATTAAATTTGCTCTTTGGAACTAAGGGAAGGCCTAGGAGGCTAAAGCTTTTCTACAAACAAGAGGCTGAGGACATTAGGGAGAAGTGGGGTCTGCCTTGGGAAGGCCCTGCAAGGTCCTGCTCAGTTTGAAAAGCTAAAAATGTATCATTCAAACGGCAAAATTTTGTGTCTTACTCTGTGCCTAACCTAAAGGAAACTTTTCTACAAGTAAGTCCATGGCAAAATACAGAACCTTCTATGGATGTTTCTATATAAATATTTGACTGGGTATTTAACTCCTGGTGGCTCCTTTCACTTGAATTTGTAAACAGACCAAAGGGAAATGAAAGGGAAGGAGGGAGGGAGGGAGGAAGGCAGAGAGAGAGAGAGAGAGAGAGAGAGAGAGAGAAGGGAAACAAACTGGCTGAGGGTCTTAAATGTTTGTATTACCTTATGTCTCATTTGAAAACCTGAGTGCCCCAAAATGTCACACTTATATTTTATCTTCTCAAATTGAAATTTTAAGCCAAAAGGGATTGTGCTATAGTTTAGAATTATCTACGTTACTTTGAAACTCCCATAATTGATGGAAGATTAGGCTAGGAATTCGAATCCAAACCCAAAAGAACCAAATTTATTAAATCCATGGGGACCTTGCCTCGACTTGGAATGCTGCCATTTGGGGAAGATCTGTGGCAGTAGGCTTGACGATTGAAAGAGAAGTCAAGCTCCTGGGATTAGGGAGCTGATTGGTTTACGTAAGAAGAAACGGTGCACTGTAAGCACGTTTTAGATTTAGAAAACTGGGTTGGCCATGTCAATCACACTTCAGAATTAAATGTTCTCATTGTCCTTCCTCTCTCTCCTGTCCAACTCCAAGC